GGAATTAGAATTTGTTTATCTACAATATATTAACATTAAGCTTTATGCCACATTTTGTGTACAATATATAAAATACAGATCCTGTATACATTCATACACTTTATCTTTATCAAGTAATCAGAAATGTGAACTTAAATACTCTGATTTTTCTTATACATAAGGCATGGTCACATATATCCTTATCAACAAACAAAATCTTGAATTATTCTGGCAACCATTATTTCAAAATTTATTTGGCACAATTGAATGCCACAAATTTTCATCTCATTCAACTGAAAAATATTTAAGAAATGTTTCTCTTTCAACCAAAGAAAAAGAGGCAAAGAAGAGCTAAAACACATTTCCACTCATAAGCACAGGTTGTCTTTCTTTAGCACAGCAGATACCTCAAAATCAAAGGAAAACAAATTCACACAAATCACTCAAAAGTCTTCAAGAAGCCTGACCTGCACCATATATGTTGATAAACTTTGTTTCTGCAAAAAACTGCAGTGGATCACTATGAAAAAGTACATTACATTATAGTTTTTTCTTTCTTCTAATCAATTCCTATTTTTTCACAGCAAATACTCATAAATCACTTCTAAAATCATACAAAATTGAATGATCAATACCAAAATATGGATAAAAACATTCCATACTTCATCCACGATGAAGAAGACTGTATTTTGTGTGTAATTTCAAACCACAAGTATATACCCTTTCTCTACTGCAGGAGTCAGGGAGAAGTAAAATCAGTTGAAAATAACTGTTCACTATAGTTGCATGCATATATTCAATGTACATTATGTTTACCATGCAATTTATTCCTTTTCTTAACTGGCAGCCAAAGTGGTGTTCCAAATTTTACTGCTTCTGTACTTCTGCAGTCAAAGGGTTGCTTATCATCCATTCACTGGATGATCATCTGGATTTTATATATTTCATTGACTCCTATCTAATAAGTATTAACATGAACAATAAACAATCACTGATCATAATAACTTTATTTCTTATTTGAATCTAATGATCAAAATATCAATTTCAAACAGTAAACAGCACTTCTATATATATTTTCTATAAGCAACAATTTTCATAATAATAAATAATAGGGCACTAAATGATAATAGATAAATATTCTAGTTATATTTATATTTGTATATAAAATAATATTGTACTTAATTTTACTCCCATAAGTAGTCAACCACTTGAGAATGGCAGGAAATGAAAAGTTAAAAAAACATATGCATAAAATCATGGCAGTACGGTGGCTTTATATCTTTTGTAGTCCTGAAAAGCCACTTTCCTACTTTACAGTTGGATGGTATCTACTTGTATTGTACCAATTGCCACTGCATAATGAGACTTTGGTTTCATATCCAAAGAAACTGAATGAAAATAATGTGATTTGCTTTACATTTCAATATACTTAATTTCAGTTTATAAATACAACTGTCTTCCTCCCTTCACTAATTCCATATTATTGCTAATTTGTTGTATTCTATGATTCCACAGTTACAAGGGTAACATCCAAAGTAATTGTGATCAACTAAGGGGAGTCTTCTTTCATAATTTATTCATCAAAATTTGAACTGATAGCCAATGCTTACACAATATAGCTCCAACAAGGAACACCACCACTAACAGGAGTTTACTCTGCTTAGTACTTCATAATCAGTAATTTCCAATTCTTTAAGTATCCTATATCTGCCTTTGCTACATAATGTTTTCTGTTGAAAAAGTATTATATTTTCCTTGCATTTACTTTTTCTGCATCTGTGAAATAAAGGCAATTCAGAATCAATCAAAACTATTTAGAAACTGGCCTATGGTTAGTGATATGTTAACACCAGGCTACTTTTATAATTGAAAATGAAAAATATATCTGAATCACTGAAATATCTTGTACTTGCATCACTAATGAAATACACAAAAATGCTCATAAATTATGCAGTCTTCTTTATGGTTTATTCATACTTGGGGATTAATGAATTTGTCAACAAGCTTCCTTCACCTCCACTAAAACTGATGGGAACAAGGGGCACCTTTTCTTAATTCCTAAATTGTACAACTAAATTGGCCTTGCTTTGTTATGTTACATAAAATTTAGATCTATAAATCTGAAATCTTCCTCTTTTACACTCATTCCAGGTTTTCCTTTCTATAAAATGAGAAATTATCAACAACAATCAGGATTATTCACAGGCATGGATTGATCTGTAAACAAAATATTAAAGTGAACTTCAACACTCCACTTTTTATGTGGCATTTTATAATTTTTCTTTTTAAGATGTGAAGTTACGGACATTATGAGATTTTTTACATATTTACTTTTTTCCCCTTAAACAGTCTCTACATTGCCCTTGACACGAACCCTACGTATAGGGCTAAAATCTGCCGAGCCCACACTGTTCCTAGCACCATCCCTCCTTTCACAGTCACCTTCCTCCGTACTCCCATTCACATGTGGCTCAAACACATCATATGTTCCTGTTGTTCTAGCAAGAGGGGGTTTGGCAGTAAAGGAAGTTTCAGTCTCATCTGGCGTTGGAGGCTGTGCCAATTGTGAAGGGGGAGAAACATGACTTTGGGTATCACTCTCCTTAGGGAAGACTCTCGTGTCAAGAGCAGCGGGTACAAGCAGAGGCGGCGGCACTTGACTCAGGGGCGGAAGGATGCGAGTGGGACCAGGGGAGAGCGCGACATTCCCAACTAATGACACATAAGGCCAGACCCCTTCGTCCTCTCCTGGAGTCACACTGTTGGCCCTTGTTGGTAACTCTAAATTCCCTGTAATGCCCATATCCGCCATCATCTCTCCTGTACTACTGGAGCTGCTGCTACTGCTGCCATTACTGTCTTGAGGAGAGCTAGTCCTCTCTATATTCACCTACCCATTGGATCAAAATAAGTCATCAGTTCACTTGTAGCATAAGTTTTCCCTAAATTAAAGGAGCTGATGAATATCTAGCAAGATGAAGCGCTACAACACCTCAGAAGTTATGGCTGTGAAATGGGTTGAATAAAACTCTTCTTTCATGCAAAATCTTTCAATCATCAACTACAAACATAAGAAAGGAAAAATACCGGGAAAAAAATCCAATACCAAACTGTTATATAAAGACTGTTGGAACATCAAGAATCTACTGGGAAATCAACTCTCATCATAACTGAGTCAAAGTTCTCCCAACATTTAAAACTGATGACTAGGAATATTCTTGAATGTGGTGTGACGAACCTTGGGCAGTGAGGGGGAGGCCTGGGGTACTCCAGTAGTCATCATGTCTTCCATTGGAATTTCTTCACTTCGCGGACGAGGTCGGGAGGTGGAACGAGAGATGCCTTCCCGTGCTCCCTGTGGATGTCTGCTTTTCTGCCTTCCAAGACGACTTGGACTTTGCGATTCTGATCTACCTGAAGAAACTGCTACCTGGTCTTCTGTCAATAAGATTTCCATTATTGAAGTAAATGTAAAACAGAGGTTAACAAGAATAGTTCACATCTTTGACTGCAGCATCTAATCTATCAACAAAACCATTCATATCTTCAATCTATCTAATATCATCCTTTCACCCTAATAATGACTGCTCATACAGTATTTACGACGATAACTTCTAGACTTACGAGCATCTGGGCTTGGTTGGAGTCCAGCCCCACCTTCACGCTTCAGCGCAAATCCGGGAACTCTTGAAACATTGAATAGTGGGCGGTGAGATTGACTGCGACTCCGTCCTTCCCCACCACTAGCACGGCTTACACCTCGTCCTACCAATTTAAAGCATTATGACACCACTATAACTATTTGAAAAATAGGTCTCTTCCATTCTTCAGCTACCTCAGCCTTTACCTTTGAGAAATTGATTTTATATTGAAGACTAAGTATTCCTATTACAGGTCAGTGAATGAGGCATCATCAGCAAAAGAAATAACTACAAAAACATGACAACTAAACTATGAACATGAATTAGAATCATGAAAAGATAAACTAAAGCAAGAAAATATAATGCCATGAAACAATTGGAAAGAGTAAAAGAAAAGCAGAAAACAACATAACTGAGAACCTTTCAATTGTATATAAATAGAATAATTTTGAAAATCACAGAACCTTTCAATTGTATATAGATAGTATAATTTTGAAAATCACATCTCAATCTCCTAAAAATATCTATAGTATAAATCTCAATAGTTACTGCAATATCTACTTCTTTTTTCTTATCATTAACAAGAATAATATAGTCCTGTTACATCAATAAATAAACACTCATCCAAACACCATTTCATAAACACTAATTTTTGCATATCAACAGCAACAATATCAAAGTGGAAGTACATTGTCTCTTCAATATCATACTTTTAATATTTAGTGATGGCCCCATTTACTGTACTTTTCTAATGTATATAATATGGCCAACAGGAAGCTCACCAAACAGCAAATAACAGGAGATACAACTGTTCATTCTCGGTTTCTTTTGAGTAGAGAGCATCCAGAATCATATAACACCTATTTACTAGGATTAAATTCTTCTTCAAAATGTATATTTTGTTTACTTATTTAGCTTCATGTATACCTCAACAGATGATGCCATAACAAATGTATAGCTGTTCATGTGTGTGTACAAGAAAATAGCATGTGTAAGTGTGCATATGCATGTGCATATGCATGTGTGTGTGCATGTGCATGTGCGTGGGAGTGTGCATGTGCGTGGGCATGTGCGTGGGCATGTGCATGGGCATGTGCATGGGCGTGTGCATGTGCATGTGCATGTGTGGTGCATATGCATAAGTGCATTGGCATATATATGTGAATGTTTGTGTGCAGGTGCTTGTGTGTGTGCATGTGCATGTGTACATATTAATAAATATACTTCTTGAATATAGATATAACATATCTATGTATAAACATGCATTTTCATATATACTCCATTATGTATATATTTATAATACACAGAAATGAAAAAGAACCATAAACAAACACAGACATATATATAAATAGGCATACAAAAATTCATATAGAAATAAAAATACTACAAAAAAAATATAAATACAGATCAATTTTTCATAACTTTCACCGTCACTGCAAGTTTACGTTTTTCAGGATATTTGTCAATGCTAATCCAGGGGTCCAAGTAAGTATTAGTATATCAAGTGACTGCACCAACCTACAAGTACCCAAGGGAAAGTGACACTAGGTGTATGTGGAAAATGTTTGGCTCTGCTTCAGTGTCAGTACATTACAACGACTAAGCAGAGACATGATATGCTGTGATGGGGTCATGTGCATATCTTGCCAATGTGTACTTTTTGGATTTGTTATATATTTTTTAATATATATAAATCTGAACAATGTAAAGTACAGACCTGGCTTGCAGTTTGGATTTGATATTTCATCTCACATTAGAAATACTAGGAAATGAATTACCCATATCAAGAAGAGATATCATTACTACACTGAAAAAACAACAAGTGTTTACATGAAGGACCCAAAAATTTACATAATGAGGTAAAATATTAGGAGTAACAGACTGACTCTTTAATTAAAAATGAGTCACTGTCACCAGAAAATGAGGAGGAATGTTGTTGATCAGCATATTTCAATTCTTATTATCTTTTCTGAGCCTCAAATAGTACTGTTGACATGAATGGTATTTTGTCTACACTAGAATGATAATACTGCACTAATTTGTTACCTCTGCTGATCAACATTCTTCTTTTAGCATGCAATATATTTCTCAACTCTTGAGCCTTTATTGTATACCTGTCTGTTAATATTAGAATACAGGAACAATGTCAAATTCAATTACAGATCTACATATGCAATGAAAAACACAATACCGTGTTGATAATATGGAAGAAAAACCCACAATGCTCTAACTAGATTTATTGATGAAAGTGAGACAACAGTTTCGGAATCGTCCTCGATTCCATCTTCGGGTCTGAAGATGGAATCGAGGACAATTCCGAAACTGTTGTCTCACTTTCATCAATAAATCTAGTTAGTGCATTGTGGGTTTTTCTTCCAGATCTACATATATATCCCCTCTCCCTTACTTGCAATGAAAGACTGCTCAGAATCACATACATTATAAAGTCTCCCTTCCTTAAAATGCATTGAACTATAATACAGTTTAAGACAGAAGAGACAGTAAAACAAATGCTTAATTGTGAAATATTTAAATGAGTGCCACTCACAAGTAGTGTTTATTTGTTTAATTTATCTACATACAAACTGTGAAATTATAGGACTTATTAGCATTTTATATAAGAGTCCTCACAAAGACTTTTTCAAGGTTCGAGGAATTTTTCAGCAGCCATTTTGTTCTTCTGGTTAGTGTATGCTATATCAGTAGAAAGGCAAAACACCCATAATGGAAAGCACATGGTAAAAAGATGGTGGTGAAGATATAATTTAAACTGAGATCTCATCAACTTTGAAGGAGTTCAGAACTGAGGTTCAGTTTTGATCCTAGAATGAGAAAGAAAAAGAAGAAAAAAAGGTTTTATGTATGACATGGGTTCATATCGTGACTGACTTGGTCATGGCTCCAGGAGACGTATCAATCACATCATGACTGACTTTGGCATGGCTCCGAACAGCAGGTCATTCACTTTATGTTACTATGATGCATGTATTACACTTTATGTTCTTCTTTATCAGGTACTCTCATCCCCACATGTGACATGCCTTAGGGCATTGCTTGAGGGAGAATGGGTCGTGTAATGCTCTGATTGACTATTGTTTTGTATAAAAGGGGTGATATTTAACACAAATTATTTGCCCGCTATGCCTGGATGATGTCATGGACTATGTTGCTGCTGTTGTGAACCTGCCAGTAACCTTCACTTTAGTTTGTGTGATCAGTGTCCTAGTCTTCTTGCATACAAGCCCTTATTTTGTAAGAACAAGATTTGTGAAAATGAGAGAAATTTCATTTTTTATCCCTCAATAAAAACACCATATAACACACCTGACTCACTGAAAGGGATAATGTACTGAATCAGGTTACTACTGGGTTAATCTAGGAACTAAAATGATCATACATATGCAAAAACATTAAAATCAAGTTTTGGATAAAAGATAAAAAAAAAAAAAAATCCTATCACATTGTTGGTGCAGCACAGCAAGTGCAACAAAACTCCTGCATCTGAAATAATCCCTGGAGGCAAGCCCAGTTAGCCACACATACTATCAAACAAGACAAAACAAACCCTAAATTCTCCAAAAAGCGCTGAGTGAACTGTCTTTATAGCAATTTATCATCATTATTTTTTTCTTTCTTTCTCTTTTAGGAGGGAGTGGGTTACCTGCAAAACTTGCGCATAGGTAAGCATATAAAACATAAACCTATTAGCTTCATTCAACATTAATCACTTCCTTCAATTTCCTGATGTGTAGCTACTTTCTACCTTTTATATAATACTTGATTTCAGAGTTTCAACTGTCAACTATTACTTCTCATAATTTATCTGTTAGATACAATAGTATGTTCTCATCTTCCATTAAAACGATCTACTCACTGCCAATACTGATTCATGTAACTGTTAATTCTTTACTATAAATCTTTAAAAGCACTCACTCTTATCACCACATGCACCAAAATTCTGAAAACCATTATCAAGCCATTTACAGAATTCAAATGCATAATAATAACTCCATTGCATACTTTGTAATACTACACTCATAATGTCAAGATGCTTTGATCATCATCTTGATTCCAGATGATCTAACTTCTTGCTACTATCCATCACCCGGAAAAAAAAATCCCCAGCCTGCTAAGTCTTAGATCAAACACAAACACAAAAACACACACAAAAAAAGAAGACTTGCCCTCCTTCTGGCCCCCGTCCCAAGCCTCCGACAGATGAAAAGTGTTCTGTCACTTCTCGGAGCGTCGCCGGCCCCGCCCTGTAAAATCGCTCATTGCATCTTCAACTCGGTAAGTCTTATAAATAGAAAATGAACTGGGTTCTACATTTGCAAAAAGAGAGTGCTCACCAAATGGTTTCTAAAGATTTCTAATAAGAGCTAAGAGGATAAAAAATGACTGATCAACTACTTTTGCAATTACTTTCATTAACTGATGTCAAAAATATATATATTTTAAGCCAAGCCAATTATATTCATTATTCTGATATGAAAATAAATGGTTAAAAATATTTTATAAACATTTAATCTCAGACTATCTCTAATGGTGCTCTTTTAATTTGAATTAAAATAATGGCAAATTCTCAAAGCAATAAAAATATCAAATTCATAATAAGGTAATCATTTAAAGAAATACATACTGCACTAGAGATTATAGAACTTAAAATCAGGAAATGTCTAGTTTAGAAAGCACATAAATGCACATTCATATAAACACAAACAAGCAGAAATGCATATATTCCCATTTGGATACTTCAGGAGAGGAAAAGTGAGTTACAGGAGAGGAGGGAGAGGAAGGAGCTAAGGGAAGAAGAGGAGGAAATCAAGAGGGAGAGGATGGGAAAGAATGAGAGAGCAAGAGAAATGGAGTTCAACATGAAGAGGGTTGAAGAGAAGAAGGAAAGCAGGAGAAACCAAGCTGAAAAGAGGAAAAGGATTGGAAGGTGAGAGCAGAAGGGAGGGAGGTGAGAGAGAGGGACGAACAAAGAGAGAGATAAAGAAGACGAGAGTTGATGAAGAATAGAGATGAAGAAAGAGAGCGAAAGAGGACCGATGAGAGAGATGAGATGAGAGAGAGAGACGAAACAGAGAGATGTGAGGAGGAGGAGAGAGCGGAGAGAAG